ACATATAGGGTTTCTGAGGAGCATCTGGTGGGTTTGAACCGCTGACCTTACCATTTGCAATCCAGTGCTTATCCTACAGTGCCACATCAGGGCCCCAAAGTGCATATTATTGTTGTTTTTAAGTGCTGTCAAGTCGAGTCCGACCTGTAACGACCCTATATAGGGTTTCCGGGAAGCAGCTGTTGAGTTTGAATTAGCGGCCTTGTTTTCAAGCTAACTTTTTCTGTCCAGTGCTTTAAGTGCCACATCAGCACTCCAAAATGTGTATAGTAGATAACTTACTAGAGAATTGGGAGTGGTCCTTAGACATTTGTTGAATTAATGGCCTTCCCAAACTAACAGGAATAACGCAGTTGTAACTGCACATGGTGGACTAAGTAGGATAAGCACTGGAGTGCGAACCACAGATCAGCAGTTCAAACCCACCAGCTGCTCCCGGAAAACCCTACACAAGGTCACTATGAGCTGGACTCAACAGCACTTAACAATAGTAACAACAAAACCACACATGACAGTAAATCTCAGAACAACTTTTACAAAATCAACTTTTAAAGATATTCAACCACTTTTGATCTTTATCTTGTGGTGGTTCTTTGCTGACTTGCTCCCTTTGTGAAACCTTTAATAGGATGCCCTGCAGCAAACATGCTCATCTAATTATGGTCCCAGCAGATACTAGATTATGGTGAAATATGCTGTGGGAAAACTAAAGAATTGTGCTATAAACTAGAACCTCCAAAGGGTCTTCTGGTGTGATGTAGCAATTAAATAAGAAAACAGGAATTGCTCCTTGGAGTTCTTCCATGCATCTGATCCTGTTCTCTATGTTGCAAGGAGACAAACCCATTTGTTTTTCAGAACAAACTGACCCTTATGTCAGAATGTTTATCCACAGTTTGGTAATTTGAGCACATTTTTCCTCATGCACATCTAAGACAGTTGTTGAAACACTTGTCAGCACTGGCAGTGTCTAATTTTTGTTGTTATTGGTGGTGGTGAGTAAAACAGCCATGTCTGCAAGTTTTGAGGCCTGTGTTAGGAGTTTCTAGGATTAAAATAACATGCCTGTTGATTTTGAAAAGACATTTAAATATGAAGATAAGTCAAAACGTATTGCTCCTGGGGTTCCAGTTCACACATGCACAGATTTATTCCAAACAGACGTGTTTAAACATATGTCTCTGGGATCTGACAAATTCTCTCAGTAATATACTTGTCTTAATGAGGCTTTCTACTCCCGTAAGGATTTACACCCTCGGAAACCCTGTACAGGGTCGCTATGGGTCGGAACCGACTTGACGGCACTTAACAACAACAACAAATCTCGTTAGGGTGCCTTCACAAAAAAAAAAAAAGGTCACATCAAACCAGTGGCTTCCAAGGGGGTCTGCTGGGCTAGTTAAATTTAAATTCAAGGCAGAGGTCAGTTTAGAAGGTTGTGAGGACTGTTTTGGAGATTTCCAAGGGATAATCTTGATCTATTTTCTTAAAGGACACAGGATGGTCATGGAATTTATGAAAATGTTTTAAGAAAATTGAAGCTGCATTGGTGAGAAAAAGGCCAGGAAAGTTGCACCGAGTAATTTTGTTTTTTTCTGTCATGAATCATGACTCTGCACATGTTCATTCTTCAAGGGGTAACTCTGTAGGATAAGCACTGGATTGCGAACCACAAGGTTGGCAGTTCAAGCCCACCAGCTCTCCGCAGGAGAAGGTTAGACTTTCTGCTCCCACAAAGATTTGCAGCTTTGGAAACCCTATTCAGGGTCACTATGAGACAGAACCGACTCTGTGGCGCTTAACAAGGGCTATCCTAAGAGAATTCCCTTGGGAAACTTTACTTTGTGTACCTTACAGCCCTGATCTTGCCCTTTCAAACTTCTTTTGTTTTCCAAACTCTAAGAACACTGAAAAGGAACATGATTTGAGTCCCTCGAGGATGCCAAAACTGCTGTTTTGAAGTAGTAGAAATTGAAGAGTACACAGGTTTTCAGGGAAGGGTTAGAAAAATTGGAAACGCCACCTTCAACATGTATACACCTAAATGTTGAGCAACAATAGCTTTATGTTTTGATATTTTTGTTTTAAAAAGGTTGCTATGGCTTTATAGCAATATTTTTTTTAACTTACCCTTGAAAAACCTCATTGTGCAGGGTGGGACTGGGAAGATGTGTACATAGTTATTATCCTCTTTATAAAAGGCTGTCAAAAATAGTGCAAACCACATTGTTTGACCCACTAAAACTGTATATTGTGTTAAATTAAATATAACTAAATGAACTGAATGAAGATTTAAAAAATGATTTGGACTTTAGTGAAGTAGCACTGAAATATATTACTACTGTTTTTGGTTCCTTTGGTTAGACCTGTGATTTATTTTGTTCAGTATTTGGGGATATGACCCACAATGAAAGGAAGTTTGAAGTGCTATTAAAACTGCTGTTGTTGTTGTTAAGTGCATCAAGTTGGTTCCTGTATGGGGGTTCTGAGGAGCAGCTGGTGGGTTTGAACTGCTGACCTCATAGTTTGCAGTCCAGTGCTTATTCTACAGCGCCACACCAGGACTAGAAGAAAATAGTGGATGAGTTTGTGATGTATCCGCAGAAGAGAAGAAAACAGGTTTTTATAAATCACTCATTGATGACCATACTTTACAAAGGAGAATTAAAGTAAATATATTTGGTGTGTCCTTTTCTTTCATTTAGCATTTGGATGTTAGTGGGTCTTTCTTGACATGAGATTGTTTTCTATACTGTGCAGAGCTTATTTTTAAAATTACTTTATTGTGTTTAGCAAAGAAGAGTTTGCTGAGTTGTTTTCAAACCTGATTTCAATGCACAGAATACGGGGGGGGGGTATGGAATGAATGGAATTTTTCCATGAACTTTTTCATAAAACTTTATTGTGAGCTGAGTGAAAGCTTACCGAGTAGATCGTAGAATTTAACCCATCACATACTTCATTTCATTTCAGTGACTGCATTCCCCTCAATGTAACACCGCTGGCCCTCCGTGACGTTTTTGAGAGAACAGTACAATGCTCTTTCTGTAGGTTTATCTAATTATTCATAATCCTTGTTACTCCAGTAGCTGCTACTCAAACTCCTTACACACACTGGCCAAATCCCATGGTAGCAAAATAATAAAATAGCTGTTAACTAGGGGTCCTTCTTGCAAATATGATTGTTTCTTTTACGTCCTCTCAGTAGTTGAAGGATAAAGTACTTCACCTTTAAGCAATGAAAGAAAAAGGGCACGCCACTGAACATACTTAGTTGGAAAATAAAGTATAAATATTTCACAGTAATCTCGGAGTGGTTATAAGTCATCATAGTGCTAAGAAGCAAGGTATCTTAAAAAAGAAGTAGAATTATCTTAAGATTGACTTAGATGGAGATAATAGTTACTTACTAATCCGATTTTCAAATGGAGGAAATTGAGAAGCAGTGTCGACTTGGAGGATGTAAGAATCCAGATCTGGAAAATCTTGACCTGGAAGCATGTAATAAGATCAAATTTTATTACAAATATATAAGGGCTTATGTTCTGGCCCCTGAATCTAAGTATAGTAGTAGTGGTGGTAGCTTAGCAGGAAAAGCACGGAAAGAATTAAGTGTTAGGCATGCAAACAAGTTACCAAACCATTGCAATTTCAGGCTGCAGTAATTGAAATGTGTTAGTTTTAATATGGAAACTGAAATCATTTTGTGTTTTGACCAAGCCTGATCTTACCCTGCCTGTATGAATTCTGATCCTAATTTGAATAGCCACCTGGGTGGTGGCACAAATGGTTGATGACTTGATGATATACATACCAACAGGTGATCATTCGGAAGAACTCCCTCAGAGGACAACAGGCCTACCAATCTGTTTCCATAAGGTCATAGTTTTGAGAACCCTGGGGAGCAGTTCTACTCAGCGCACATGGAGTTTTCATGAGTAAGAACTGACTTGGACAACAGTTTTAATAGAATATTGATCAAACCTGGGGCTTGCAAAAGCAAAAAGGAAATAGTCACATAACTTAGGAAACATTCTAGTTAGAGGAATGGTTTAAAGGACTTGGACAGTGTTTAAGGAGTCCCGATGGTGCTGTAGGATAAGTACTGGACTGCTAACCGCAAAGTCAGCAGTTCAAATCCACCAGTCCCTTTTCGAGAGAAAGATGAGGTTTTCTGCTCCCATTAAGATTTACAGCCTCGTGGATAAGCACTGGACTGTTAACCACAAGATTGACAGTTCAGACCCACCAGACGCTTCTTGTAACCCCTATTCAGGGTTGCTATGAGTCAGAACTAACTTGACGCCATTTACCAACAACAAACCTTACTTATGTAGGGTCATGATGAATCAGAATCGACTCAATGGCAGTGGGTGGGGACAATATTTGGAGGCATATGACAACTGTCCTCAGGCACTAGGGAAGCAATTGTTTGGACAGGAACAAACTTGTTCTGTGTTATTTCAAAAGATGGAATAAGACCAGTAAGTGAAAGTTAAGGGACTGAAGATCTTGAAAAGGCTTCAGAGCATTTGAGTTCAGTGCAAAAGGTCTTTATCACCAAATGGGGCGTGCTGTGGTGGGGTTGTAGGTTCTGATTGACAACTATATTGGCTAAACCAGTTTCTTCAAACCTAGAACTTCTGAGGTTGTTACATGAGTATATGATAACTCCATACATGAACAATTTGTAACAGTTCCCGTATTTTTAATTCTTGTCCCATTTTATTCTGATGTGTTGGTGTTGCCACAGAATCAAGCACCTTGTCTCTGAAAGGGTTAATATTAAGTTTAAACTTGAGCTTTATGAAAAATTTATTTTTAAACTGTTCTTATAATGGTAACTGCATGTTGTTTTTACTCCAATGTAGCCTCTTCTTGTTTTATAACTGTTTCTTCAAGTGAAGCATTTTTAAATATGGAAAGGCATCTAAAGACTTTGCAGAAGACTGCTTCCTGATTTGTATTTAATGTAATTGATAAAATGTGATCTCTCACAGGTGGTCAACTTACTGATGGCTATTTTGCTGACTGTGGAAGTGACTCATCCAAACTCGATGCCAGCTGTCAACATTCAGTATGAAGTGATTGGTAATTACTATTCGTCTGAGAGGATGGCTGGTATGTTTTGTATTGTAAAGAAAATGTCCCCTGCTAATTGAATATGTGTGTGTGTGTGTGTGTGTGTGTGTGTGTAAAACAAGGTACTTTGAGAGATTGTTCCATCTGCTAAAGGCAGGAAAGTATTTAATAGGATTTTCAAAGATATTCTGTAAAGATTACAACAAAAGGTTTCTAGCTAGAATATGTGTGTATTTTGTAAAAGAATATATTGTATACTAGTGACACTGTGTGTGGAGTTCTGATGTGGCATTGTGGGATAATGCTCTGGACTGCAAAGTCGGCAGTTAACTCACCAACAGCTCCCCAGAAACCCTATACAGGATTGCTGTGTGTCGGAACCAACTCAACGGCACTTAATAACAACAACCTTGACTTTATGAGATATCAGGAAGAGGAGCGGGGAAGACAGAATTGCAAAGGCACTGTAAATCTCTAAGGATCAGCTGGCAAATATAATTGAAGATGAGATTTGCTGATGGATCAAATAGCCTAGTACAGTAAAATAGAAAATATGAATGCTTTGAATACTTGGTGGGTTGGTTTTGTGCTGTGGAGTCAGTTCTGACTCATAGTGACCCTGCATAGGGTTTCTTAGTCTGTAAATCTTTACAGGAGCAGAAAGCCACATCTTTCTCCTGTGGAGAATAGCTGGTAGTTTTGAACTGCTGACCTTGAAGTTAGCAACCCAGCTCATAACCACTGTACTACCATTTGAATACTTAGTGATACCTTTTGCTCAGGGTTACAACTCTAAATCCATTCTGAATCCTATTTAGATGAAGAATATTTTCCTATTTAGATAAACAAGACTTTTGAGAATAGGGTTTAATATAGAGTAACCCTAGGACATTCACATTAATTGCCTTTTTAAACCTATTCCCTGATAGCATTATTTCCCTAGCATACAGGTGCAAAAAATTTTGAATTGAGTTTTATATTATAAATTATTATGGAAATTTAATATTTGGACAGAAATTTATGCATTAGACACCTTACAAGCAATTTAAATGCAAGTGTCATGATTAATATGATCCTTTCATTTTGTTTTCAAACAAGCAAAAAGGAACATATTAGAAACAACCCTTTTCACATCTGTTTGCTTTAGCAGTCTGTTTTTATTTAGAAACCAACAAGAACAATAAATTATACTTTAACTTTCGACAGCTGTTAGTCATGTCATGAGATTTTCCGAATTTGAATTAATTTCTAATGCCAACATTCCCCTTGCCGTGTTTCTTCTTAAATTTAGATTTATGCTTATTGAGATTCTTGTAGGTCTTTACACTTGGCTTGTTTGGGTGGAGCAGGAGGGATGAACTCATGAGTGTATTACATGAGTATTGTAATTACTGTAAAAAGAAATTAATGTAGCTATCTGTTCATTTTCTTTTTGTTGAGCCCTTATTCTTGTAATGCCAGCTGTCAACTGTGAAAATGAAAAATAATGCATAGTTCTTGATCATAGGGTTATAGTTTGTGGGTTGTTTTTTTTTTTGAAGTTGAAAATTTGTCTTTCCCATAGGTGTAGTGTTTATGGCAAATTAATTTCTGATTATTGTTTTGACAGCTAGTTTTAAATATGAGGCTTATGATTAGTTATTTTTAATTAGCCAAATAGGGTACAACAATCAATATATGAACTACTTCTCCAGTTATGAAACTGTTTTTCAAGCAGGAATTCCACGTTATTTATATTCACCTGGGGACAATTCAGGAAGAGTGGACTGTGAAGGGCTTATGGGACTTTGTGTAAACACTTGGGAGCTGGGATGGCTCTAGAGGAGGTTCCTGCATGTGATGGTGGGTGAAACTGCTGAGGTTCCTATCAGGTCATCTAGCCTTCATGTTTCGTACCCTTTATGGATTATTGATTCACAGATTCTGAAGTGTCTTGTGTCCCAAGCACTTAATGTGTCTCCCGTTTGTATGTCCCTATTCCCTCTCCCCCATTTTGCTATTCGTGTGCCAGTGGAAGAACTTCTCAAATACTTTACGAAATAGAAATAAGCCTACAATTTTCCATAACAGATTCTTGAAAGCTGATTATTGACATTATAAATTCTGCTTTCAAATTTGACAGATATCTGTCCTGTTAATTTCATATTTCATTTATATCTGAATTATTACACCAAATGGCTTCTGCACAGTGCAGCAACGAAGTCCTTTCAAGCTTTAGTATTTCGCTACCCTGTTTTCTCTAGGAAAATTTAAGAATGCTGTCCGTACTTGGAGCACAGTGGCTTCATACTATAAGCACTGGACTGTGAACCACAAAGTCCGCAGTTTAAGCCTGCCTGCTGCTCCATGGGAGAAAGATGAGGCTTTCTGCTCCCATAAAGATTTATAGCTTTGGAAACCCTAAACAGGGTCTGTATGAGTTGAAATTGATTCAGTGGCTATGACAACACTCTTAAAGAAGCCCTCTTGGGACTGTGGGCTAAGCAGTGATCTGCTAACTGTAAGGGTTGGCACTTCAAACCTACCAGCCATTTTCAGGTAGAAAGATGAGGCTATCTGCTTCTATAAAGAGACTTACAGTCTTGGAAACACGATATATATATATATATATACACTAAGAATCAATACAATGGCAGTGGATTTTATTGGTTAATTCTTACTTCATTTAGTGCCCTAAACTAGCAATACTTGTATTGATCAATGGTAAGATTTTACATATGTTCATACTATGTATGAATATCTGTGTTTCTAGTCACTTACCATTATTAATGCCCTTCAAGTTACTGATATCTATCCAGAGTCCCAGAATCAACTACAGATTTGTACAGAGAAACTCAACAAGTCAAGTGTGGTTTAGTGTTTATGGTTACTAGGGTGTTTTGTGAGAAAACTAGTGAACATAGATTAACAGGGAGAAAGAAATGGAGCAACCCAAGAAAGAGTCGAAAAGTGAAGAAGAAAATACAGCTGTCTAGCAGAGAGACCAGGGAGAAAAAATACAGAGAAATTCCTTTGAATGTTACTTTTTGGATGCAGAGGGAAATGGGTGAGATGGGCTTAATGGAGAGCCTTAAATTGCAGGGTTTATGTCAGGTAAGAGGTGGCCTGTATAGCGTTCTGTCTTTCAGATATCTGTCTTTTAAGCATATACCAACCTTTCCTCCACTTGACCTCTCTTCACCTCACAAGATCCAACTAGCTCTTGAGCATTTTTTTCATGATTCTCCAGGCAGAGTTAATTATTTCCATCTCTTGTAGTACTTACCACACTGGATTATAATCATCTATTTACGTATCTTCAAATTCTTGGACTTGTAAGGACAGAGAGAACCTATTTCCCTAGCAGAGAACTGACTCATGTGTCTTCTGAAATAAGTGTCAGTGAATTATTGTAGCAATTTAATAAATAACACCTTTACGTGAATTTCTATTGGTTTGCTACTAAAAGCTAAGACTTAGAATTTTTTCTTCTTTACTCTCTTGACCTTGTATCTTGGCCAATCTTGAAAATCTTTAAGCATTTTAAAGCTTGCTTTAAAATGTTGTGAAGTTTTGTGTGTGTGTGTGTATATATAAATAGCTTAATTTTATTTTTGTTTTTGTTTTCTTAGATAATGCGTGTGTTCTTTTTGCTGTCTCTGTTCTTATGTTTATAATCAGTTCAATGCTGGTGTATGGAGCAATTTCTGTAAGTATCCTATATTTTTGACTTTTCGGAGTTTGAGTTATACTAAATGGTTTGTAGCAGTTTCATGTATGTGATATGATGTTGTGGTTGTTTTCTTCCACAGTATCAAGTGGGTTGGCTGATTCCATTCTTCTGTTATCGCCTTTTTGACTTCGTTCTCAGTTGCCTGGTTGCTATCAGCTCTCTCACCTATTTGCCAAGAATCAAAGAATATCTGGATCAATTAGTAAGTGTGTATGCTAATAAAACTTTTAAAATAAAATATTTCTTAGAAGTAAAATACTTAATTTACAAGTCTGAGTCTTTCTTCAAACCCAAACCAAGCCTGTTGCCATTGAGTCAACTGCTACTCATAGCAACCCTCTGAGTCTGAGATAGATGCTGTCTCTTAACTACCCCAAAGTCACGACGTGTAAAGACGTTGTGTGTGATCTACTGAATGGAGCAGCAATAAATGAGGAGCTTAGAGTAAGGCCATATAATGGAGGGGGCAGGGAACACTCTAAACTGAAGTGGACATAAAGGTCTTCCACAGGGAATATCTGGAAGGACACGTGGGGCCCAGAGAGATGGATGGTGGGCAGGCATCCTTAAAGCATTGCTTGTCATTGGTGTTGTTAAGTGCTGTAGAGTCGGTTCCAATGCATAGTGACTCTGTGTAGTGTTTCCTAGATGCTGTCTTTACAACTTTTTCCTCACTTAGATATCATGCCTTGTCAGTTTTGCACACCACCAAATTATCTTTCGTTCACTCAGAAAGCATTTGCTGTTGCTCCTGTGTGTAAGACACTGCTAACTCCTAGGGGTACATCGGTGGAGCTTTCTTATAGTGAAGGAATCTGACAACAGTATGATAGATGTTTGGGAGGAAAAGTGACGGCTGGTTTGTAAGTGGGTATCACAAGGGTACCAGACTTGGGCTGTGGTGTGAGATTTGAATTGTCCTCAGAAGGATGAGTGGGAACTAAGAGAAGTGCAGAAGAAAATGGTTCAGGTAAAAAAGACCTTGAGGCAAGAAAGAAGGAGCATGGTATAGTTAGGGTAGTAGGAGGTGGTCATGGTGGCGGGCACACAGAGTGAACAGAAGTGGGGCCTGATATGATGGAGAGAGGAACCTGGAGGAGGCCAGGCCTGCTGTCTGGTCAGCCATAGGTAGAGCTTCCTAAGCACTGCTCTCTCTAACCATGTCATCTCTGGCTGAAAATGGCAAGTGGTGTCTTTGTTCTTGTTGTTAGGTGCCATCTAGTCAGTACTGACTCATAGCGACCTTTAGCACAGCAGAACGAAACACTGCCTGATCCTGGGCCAACCTCACTACTATTGCCATGCTTGAGTCCATCGATGCTGACACTTGGCCAGACCATCTCAGGGAGGGTCTTCCTCTTTTTCTCTGGCCCTCCACCTTACCAAACATGATATCCTTCTCCAGTGACTGGTCCCTCCTAACACTATGTCCGAAGTGTGAGAGACAAAGTTTGGCCATCTTGGCCTCCAGGGAACACTCTAGCTACACTTCTTCTTAAAATAGATCTATTGGTTCTTTTGGCAGCCATGGCACTTTAAGTATTCTCCTCCAACACCATAACTCAAAAGCATCAATGCTTCTACGGGCCTCCTTATTCACTGTCCAGCTTTCACAAGCATATGAGGTTATTGAAAATACCATGGCTTGGGTCAGATGCACCTTAGTCCTCAAGCTCACTTCTTGGTTCTTAAACACTTTAAAAAGGTCTTGTGCAGCAGATTTGCCTAATGCAATACATCATTTGATTTCTTGACTGCTGCTTCCATGAGTGTTGATAGTTGATCCAAGAAGAATGAAGTCCTTGACAACTTCAATCTTTTCTCCATTGATAAGAATGTTGTTTATTGGTCCAGTGGTGAGGAATTTTGTTTTCTTTACATTGAGATGTAATCCATACTGAAGGCTATACTGTTTGATCTGCATCAGTAAATGAAGTCCTCTTCACTTTGAGCAAGCAAGATTGTATCATCTGAATATTGCAGGTTGTTAATGAGTCTTCCTCCAATCCTGTTGTCACATTTTTCTTCATAGAACCCAGCTTCTCGGATTATTTGCTCAGCATGCAGGTTGAATAAGTATAGTGCAAGAATACAACCTTGTTGCACACCTTTTTAAATTTTAAACCATTCAGTGTTTCCATGTTCTATTCGAACAACTGCTTCTTGGTCCAGGTACAGATTCCTCATGAGCACAATTAAGTGTTCCGGAACATACTTTGCAATGTTGTCCATAGTTTGTCATGATCCACATAATTGAAAGCCTTTGCGTAGTCAGTAAGCACAGGTAAACATCTTCCTGATATTCTCTGCTTTCAGCCAAGATCCATTGGACATCAGCAGTAATATATCCCTTGTTCCACGGCCTCTTCTGAATCCGACTGTGGAAGTTCTCTGTCAGTGTATGCTTGCAGCTGTTTCTGTATTACCTTTAGCAAAACTTTACTTGCATGGGATATCAAAGAGATTGTCCGATGATTTCCACATTCCGTTGGGTCACCTCTCTTGGGAATGGGAACAAATACGGATCTCTTCCAATCAGTCAGCCAGATAGTTGTCTTCCAAATTTCTTGGCAGAGATGAGTGAGTGCCTCCTGTGCTGCCTCACTTTCTTGAAAGATTTCAATTTCAATTTCAGTTCCATCAATTCCTGGGCCTTGTTCTTTGCCAATTCCTTCAGTGCACCTTGGAGTTCGTCCTTTAGTGTCATTGGCTCTTGATCATATGCTACCTCTTGAAACGGCTGAACATTAACCATTTCCCTTTGGTACAGTGACTTTGTGTATTCCTTCCATCTTCTCTTGATGCTTTCTGCATCATTTAATAATTTGCCCAGAGAATCTCTTAATAATGAAAGTCGAGGCTTGAATTTTTTCTTCAGTTCCCCCAGCTTGAGAAATGCTGAGCGTGTTCTTAATGCCTTCTAAATAAAATCTTGAATCTTAGCATAGCATTCCTCCAGGAGCTGGTCCTATTCTTTTTAGTTAACAGAGGAAGGTTCAAGAACAGTCTTAGTCCTTAGGAAACTTGGATTTTTGGTTTGGTGTTTGGGTCTTTTTTTTTCGACTCTTAAAAATAATCATTTGAACTATCTGTGCATTTACTGCTTCTTTATGACAGTGAAAATATTTGGATCTTGGAGTTGGCATTTTCACTGAAAAGAGAGGCAGAAGCTAAAAATTAAAACAAATATGCTTTATAGAAAATAACACCAAAATGAAATTTTCACTCTCATAGACCTTTTGTTTTATTCCTTTGATTCCTCAAACTGGAAAAGGTTTCTCAGCTGGGAAGCTCATAAACCCTAAAATCTTTTGTGTAGCTCTTCTTCCTATTCTTGTTGACTTGCACACAGTAAATGCGTACTAAATATTTGAAAGACTATAGCTGATTCTTTACAGTAGAACATACTGGGATCTGCAATAAATCATGTAATCTTGTCTGGTTTTATAGCCATTGGTGTGCCTTCATTTTTACTTGTCTGCAGAGAGGTGAGACTGATATACTAACTTTTTAAAAATGTTCTCCCCACGTAGGACTAGTTGACCCATATAATTTACATGAATGTCAGTACCTTCTAAACCAGTGACTCAAGGGTCCATGGTCAAATATGGGGCCCAGTACAGGAGACAGATTTTTCCCAGAGGCCAGAAAGCTATAAAATAGTGAAAAGTAGAGAGACAGTGAGCTCAGTTTAGACAATTAGAAGTCATATGGGCATTCAAAGAGGCACATTAAATTACAAGTAAGAGTCTTACTTCCCACCCAAATCAAACCTGATTAATATAACAGCATACAATTGATGGTGATCAGACTTAGAAGCGTTTGGAGTTAACGTTAAATTTTTATTAGAAAATCAATTGTAACTTTGATGTCTTTGTATTTTTGCTTACTATGCATTTTTGTTATCACAAAGTACAAATGCTGTTCCTAAATTGTAGTTGAATTATAAATATATGTGTGTATTTTTTACAGCCTGATTTTCCCTACAAAGATGACCTCTTGGCATTGGATTCCAGCTGCCTCCTGTTCATTGTTCTTGTGTTCTTTGTCTTTTTCATCATCTTTAAAGTAAGTTGATGGCTAAATCTTCTGAAGGGCCAATTAGGCTGTCACACTGCCCATGTAAACCTTTGCTTTATCAAACCCTTCTAGGTTACAGTAGATTAACAATTTGTTGTCACTGCAGTTATCCTAGCACAATAGTAGAGAATGTCCTCTCTTTAGTTTCAGTGAGTGGTTGGAAATGTTAAGAGTTTCCTTAAGTATAAGGAACATCATTTTGATTTTGGACATAGTTCCTGATTTGAAATGAAAATTCCCAGTTCCTAAGATTCAGAAACAAAGCTTTTCTTCTATAGCACAATAGTTGACCTACTTCAAATTCAGCTCTGATTTCTCAGTAAAATGGTGATAATAAAACTTGTGACATTAAGTGAGAGTAAGTGTCTGAAAGGCGTGGCATTTACTCTGTCCAAATGGATGTCAGTTTCCGTCTCCATAGAGAAGACTTGGGAAAACATTATAAGTCACCTTAATTTTAGAGTTCTGAAGATAGAGCAGGTATCTGTTAAGTTTCTAGAATATATAAATATTGTTTTTACTCTTTCAGGCTTATCTGATAAACTGTGTTTGGAATTGCTATAAATACATCAACAACAGAAACTTGCCGGAGATTGCTGTGTACCCTGCCTTTGAAGCACCTCCACAGGTTAACTATTTTGTAATATATTAGAACTTCATTAGCCATTATTGATTACTTCCAAGGAAGAAGCTAGATCTTGCCTTTCTCTTTTATGCTCTAGCTATGATTTGGGGCACGGCTAGCTTTGTTTGGTTCAGCATTTTCCCATTTGGAGTCCTCGGTGGGTGGTGCCAGAGAGATCTGTGTTGCCTCTCCCTTTCATTTAGCTTGGCTATTAATGCTCGATTCATAAGTGGCTTTCCCAAATGTTGAGTTTATCAGGAAGTTGTTGTTGCTGTTGTCAGGTACCATCGAGTCGGAACCGACTCATAGCAACCCCATGCACAGCAAAACAAAACAATGTCCAATCCTGGGCCAACCTCACTACCGCCGCCACACTTGACACCATCAGTGATGCCACCTGGCTGATCATCTCGTTGGGGGTCTTCCTTTTTTTCTCTAACCCTTCACCTTACCCAGCATGACATCCTTCTCCAGTGACTGTTCTCTCCAGACAATGTGTCCAAAGTATGAGAGACAAAACCTAGCCATCTTGGCCTCCAAGGAGCACTCTGGTTGCACTTCTTCCAAAACAGATCTATTGGTTCTTTTGGCAGTCCATGGCACTTTCAGTATTCTCCTCCAACACCACAACTCAAAGGCATCAATTCTTCTACCATCTTCCTTATTCATTGTCCAGCTTTCGCATCCATATGAGGCTATTGAAAACACCACGGCCTGGGTCAGCCGCACCTTAATCCTCAAGCTGACATCTCTGCTCTTCAATACTTTAAAAAGTTCCTGTGCAGCAGATTTGCCCAATGCAATACGTCGTCTGATCTCTTTACTGCTGCTTCCGCGAGTGTTGATAGTTGATCCAAGAAGAATGAAGTTCTTGACAACTTCAATCTCTTCTCCATTGATAAGAATGCTGTTTATTGGTTCAGTGGTGAGGATTTTTGTTTTCTTTACATTGAGTTGTAATCCATGCAGAAGGCTGTGCTCTTTGATCTTCATCAGTAAATATTTTAAGTCCTCTTCACTTTCAGCAAGCAAGGTTGTATCGTCTGCATATCTCAGGTTGTTAATAAGTCCTCCTCCAATCCTGATGCCACGTTTTCCTTCATAGAACCCAGCTTCTCGTATTATTTGCTCAGCATACATATTGAACTTAACAGGAAGAGCAGACAGGAAGTAGACATGTTTGAACCATGCCAGTCTCAAGGCCTCTTGTTCTAAGAATGGCAGATACCAAAGGCTGAATCTTGTGTTATTTAAAAATCCAAGGGGTAGTTGATGTTTCTGTGTGGAAAATGCAAGGTGTTCCATGAGTCAGTAGGGGAGTCCACTAATTACTGCTATAGAATCTTCAATATTTTCTCAGGATTTCAACATGTAGAATGTATGTGGTCCATAGAGGGCTAGCCTGGCATCAGGCTAGAATGCTACTCCTGCCTAGCTGTGTCATTTATCCTAGAAAACATATATATATATATATATACACTTCCCTGATCCTTTGACTATAAACAAAAGGTTCTAATGAAATTCAGAGACTAGAATCTTACTGGGCACTTGCAGTAGCATGGTGCACATGTCAGGTGGGGCCCTTACCTATAGCCTGAACCCTCCTGAGCTGTAGTTGGCACTGGTCTTTGTCAGTCATTCTGAAAGAGGGGACACAGTGGTGTACACTGCCTGTCAAGAAATCTTTGCAGCTCGAGCAGAATTCTGCCTGCCTGCCTCTCTCTCTCCCTTCCATCCTCCCTTCCTTCGTTCATCCATCCCTGGCACTTTCGATCAGATAACTCATGTGCATAAAACATTCCTTGTTACTCATCCGTCTCTACTTTGAGGAACTGTTTTAGGTAACATTTTGTAAAGCTCTCTTCTGTAGGCTTATATTCCCCTATTTAAGGTGGAAATGGAATCTGGGTGTGTTCAAACGCAACTGCTTCTTGGAAAGGTCTCTGTGAGTCAGAACTGACTCGATGGCACTTAACAACAACTTAAGGTATAAAATCTCAAAACTGAAGTATTTCAGAAACAATTTTAAAGGAGAATTAAGTTTGATCTGTTTTTTTCTTTTAGTACGTTTTGCCAACTTATGAAATGGCAGTGAAGATGCCTGAAAAAGAACCACCGCCTCCTTACATACCTGCCTGAAGAAATCCTGCCTCTCTCAATAAACACTATACCAGCTTTTTGTCTTGTTTATTTTACAGAATGCTGCAGTACAGGGCTCTTCAAATTTACTTGATACAAAATTTGTTTAAGCATTTGTTTTCAAAATACTAAGGAGCTTTTCGGACATCTATTAGAAGTATTTTGTTGTTGTTGTCAGGTCTCTACATTTAAATAGTTTTTGAAGACAATCTAAATTAGGCCAGAACAGAGTGCCAGTGCCTCTGTTTGCCTTTGTGTCGGGGGTGGGAAGGGCTTATTCTTCACATATTTTCTTTTATAACTTTGCACTTTGTTTATATACTGGTTTGCATTTTGGTTATTAACTGCCTTGGATACTTTTCAAGAAGAAAGAATTAAATATTCAGGGTGAGTGAGTCGGTTATCAGAACTGAAGTTTTCCGTATGGAAATAGGAAAAGTATGTTAACATTTTGACTTGACTGTGGAAGATAATGGTTGCATGTTACTAATTTGTATGTGTTTCCACCTTTGTGATAAGATGCTTTAATAAATCTCTTAAGTATTTGTTGTCATTGTTTTATATGTATATATGTGTATTTAATTACCCTTTTAATTGAAAAAAACAAAAACCACAGTTTCTAGTAATTTGAGAGTATAATGCTAGACTTCTAATGAGAAAGTATTTCTTTTTTTTTAATGTGAAAGCATTTCTTTACGCTAGTAACTCTTATGTCAAATTACAGTAAAGGTATTTCTTAAATCACAGGCTGGAAATTAATAACTGATCATTTGATTTTTCAGAATCTTATAATTAATATAGCAAGCTATGTTTTTATGCTATCCTCAGTTAGTTAGGCAATAGATTCATGAGTCGTTGCAGTTAAATGCATCAGTTGACCTCAAGGGGAACCAAAAGAGAAAGCAGAAGCAAACTAGTTTTTAGACCCCACAACTTAAAATTTCTCTTGAGAATGTTCCACTGTGTTTCTTGCTAAGGATGCAGCATAGGTGGCTTTACCCATGGTGTGGCACTATAGGGTAAGTACTGGGCTGCTAACCGCAAGGTCAGCATTCCAAACCTACCAGCTGCTACTCAGAAACCCTCTACATTCTTACCTGGCTCCATGGCACTAACAACACATGTCACTAACAAGCACATAGATCTGATTTATGTCTCTAAAGGAAAGAACTATTTGGTGGCATCTCACTTTAATGAATACTTCCAAGCATGACCACAAAACAAATCAAAAGCTTTGTATTTAAGAAAGTATACCTGGGTGTACAATTCGTTTTCAGATTTTACTTATACCTTTATATTAGAACATTTCAGAGTCAGGGACTTCCCTGGGTTAGACCCACATTGTTCCTCTATAAGAACTGAAATGAGTTTCTCATTATAGGTCTCAAAAGTATGGTTGCAACCATACATTGACAACTGCTAGAGCTGGATTCAGAAGAGGACATAAAATGAGGGATATCATTGCTGACATCAGATAAAACTTGGCTGAAAGCAGAGGATACCAGAATGATGTTTACCTGTGCTTTCTTTATTGACTACGCAAAGCATTTGTGTGAATTATCACAAGCTGTGTATAGCGTTATGGAGAATGAGTATTCTGGAACACTTTATTGTGTTAATGAGGAACCTGTACATAGACCAAGAGGCACTTGTTAGAACAAGGGAGTACCAAATGGTTTAAAATTAGGAAAGGTGTGCTCCAGGGTTATGTTCTTTGGCCATACTTATTCAATCTGTATGCTGAGCAAATGATCTGAGAAACTGGATTATATGATGAAAAGTGGCATCAGGATTAGAGGGAGAGTCATGTGACTGCTAATGATGCAATCTTGCTTGCTGAAAGTGAAGAGGACTTAAAATACTGATGTAGACCAAAGACCATACATCCTTGGGTATAGAGTGCACCTCTATGTAAAGAAAACAAAAATCCTCACCACTGGACAAATGAACAACATCCATATGAATGGAGAAAAGACTGAAGTTGTCAAAGACTTCATTTTGCTTGGGTGAAGAAGCAACACATGGTAGTAGCATTGAAAAATCAAATGATGTATTGCAGTAGGCACATCTGCTGAGGAGCAAAGATGTCAGTTTGAGGACTAAGATGCACCTGATCCAAGCCATGATATTTTCAGTAACCTCATAGGCATGCGAAATCTGGACAGGATTAAGGAAGACCGAACAAGAATCGATGCTTTTGAGTTACGGTGTTGGAGGAGGTTATTAATAGCACCATGGTCTGCCAAAAGAACAAACCAGCCTGTGTTGGAAGAAGTACAGTCACAATGCTCCTTGGAAGTCAATATGACCAGACTGTGTCTCATACTTCAGACATATCAGAAGGGACCAGTCACTGAAGGATACCATGTTTGGTAAAGTGGAGGATTGGAGAAGAAGAGGAGTATCCTCAATGAGATGGATTGGCACAGTGGCAGCAGCAGTGGGCTCAAACGGATGCTGTAGGATAGTAGAAATGACCCATAGGATTTCCTAGTCCTGCTATGGCACTGTGGATTAATGCGCTGAACTAAGTTTACTTTGAACTGGAAGATCAGTGATTCAAGCTCATCAGCCATTCCTCAGAAACCCTATGCAGAAACCCTATGAGTCAGAACGTGATGGCACTTAACAATCTGCAAGGAGTCCTGGTGTGCTGTATGACAAAGCACTGGATCACAAGATGGGTTTGAATCGCTAGGTCAGCAGTTTAAACCCACCAGTCACTCCTTGGAAACCCTATTCAGTGTCCCTATGAGTGAGACCTGACTCGATGGCACTACATGCATAGTGGGTTACAAGTTGAACTGCTAACTGCAAGGTCAGCAATTCGAATCCACCATTCACACCACAAGAAAGAGATGGGATAAATACAACTTGACCTCTGCTCCAGTAAAGGTTGACAACCTCGGAAATGCTATAGAGGGTAGCTATGAGTAGGAACCAACTCAACAGCACACAACCACCACTGCTACCAATCTTTATAGGAGGAGCCCTGGTGTCACAGTGGGTTAAGTGTTGGGCTACCAATTGAAAGTGTTGCTGCAGAAGAATGATGTCTGCTTCCGTAAACATTTACAACTGTACGGTCACTATGAGTCAGAAGTGACTCTGGCAGTGGGCTTGATTTGGGGATCTTTACAGAAACAGATCGCAGATCTTTCTCCCATGGAGTAGCTGGTGGGTTGGACCTGTAACTACTGTGCCACCATGTTCTTTGATTCCTAAACTGTAACACTCCAGCATTTCTTCAAATATAGATCATGACATGAACAGACCCTTCACCAAGGAGGAGATCTGGGCAGCCAACAAACATAGAAGAAATGTTCATGATCACTAGAGTCCATTTGTTGTAAAGTGCCGTCAAGTCGACTCCAAAACATAGCGACCCTGTATAGGGTTTCTGAGGAGCAGCTGGTGAGCTTGAACCGCAGACTTTGCAATTCAAATGACTGCAGTCTGGTGCATTAACCCACAGCGCCACACTACCCATTAGAGAGATGCAAATTAAAACAAGATATCATCTCACACCAGCAATAACAGCAAAGATAAAAAAAGTTGTTGTTAAGTGCCGTGGAGTCGATTCCGACTCAGCTATGAACATTGATGTGCATATGTCTACTCGTGTTATGGCTCGTATTTCTTGTGGGTAAATAGCAAGTAGAGAAATTGCTGGATCATAAGGTATTTATATTTCTAATCTCCTGTTGTTTTGATTTGCATCTCTCTAATGGCCCGGAATATTCCAACTGTTTCCAAATTCTCTCCTTTGAGCTACTACATCCATAAATATAGATCAAGTTCATCTAATTGTAACAATTTACATATGCTTCCTTAATTGAATTGCTTTATCTTCTTTTTTCTGTGTTCTGCTGCTTCAGGCCATCGAAGCTAGGTCAAATGGATACTACCTACAAGTCTGGGTGTTTCTTGTGTTTCTCCCCTCACTTCGTATCAGCTGCATGCTTCACTCTCAGCTCTAGCCCTCTGTGGCTAGGTCCTTGACCATGGGCTCAGGAGTCCCCAAGTCTCACTACACTTTGGATAACCAGCCATTCCTCTTCTGTCTCTCATCTCAAGGTCAATGGGAGTCTATGGGATGTGGTCAAACTCAGCCCATATCGTCATTACTGCCTTTCCCCCATTTCCACTCACAAGTAGACCAGTGCAGTCACCAGCAAGCTTATATGCCTGTTCATGTGTTTCCTTGGAGGGTTTTAGCCTTGGAGCGGGGTTTGACCTGAAAGGACTTGATTGCTTGCCTGGCTAACAACTTGCTTATTCTTGTAGTAGCCAATTAGACTGTCGTTTTTGTTTTTGATTTTTCCTGCTGATCTTTCTTTCAAGAAGTAGCTTCTATTCCTCTAGTCACCTGAGACTGTGAATTGAATTAAATTTTGCTCAAGGTTTTGCATTAGTGCGAATTGGGTTTTGAAGCCAACACATAAGCCCTAAAGTTATACACTTTCTACTACACCAAATATGCAAGTGATTCCAGGGAAAACATGTTCTGGTGAGCTCAATTTTGAGAACTCTCAAGTCGAGTCATTTGACAGGTCTGGTAGAACACTTGGAACTTTATAGTTTTTGAAGACATTCATAGTGGTAAGGAAAAGTTGAAAATGAGAAGCAATGTAAGGGTCAAAGCCAGAGTACAGGCCAGTATGCACAAAATTAGGATGCAGGTGAAACAGCTATAGAAGAAACTGAATAGATGAGCAAACTCGAATATAAGTTGAATGTGAATTATTATAACTCTTTATTGTGAATTGAGTGAAGGTCTACAGACAAGATCATCAACTTTACATTCAACAAATCATGCTTTGCTTCATTTCAATAATTGCAATCCTTTCCATGCAAAAACAGTTATCCTTCCTCCTTGTGGTTCCTAGTTCCACTTTACCCATCTTCCCATCCCTTCTTAAATTACTGCTCCTGTAATCTTAAATGATCCACTATTCCATGGTGAGCAAGCTTTACTCATTTTACTGCCCCTGCCATACACCCATCCACTGCTTGACTGAAAATTGGACCATGAGGTTGAGTTCCTCTCTAGACCTGAAGGGTGATCAACGAGAACTGTAGTCACCGCTTTCTCTAGTCTCTGACTAGTAAGCCTGATATTTTTATAATTTTGAGTTCTGTTCCACATTTTCTCCCATTTTATCTGGAACCTTCTAGAGTGATTTCTTTCAGAGACATAGACTCCATATAGTTCTTCTGGTCTCAGAGTCTAGAGACTGATGTTCACGTGTTCCATTAATCCATTGGGGTAATTCATTCAATATCCCCTTGTTTTGTTCCAATGACTGCTTCTTGGTGTATATACAGGTTCCTCCGGAGTACAGGTAAGTGTTTTGGAATACACATTCTTTGCAATGTTATCCGTAGCTTGTTATGATCTACACAGTTGGATGTGCTTGTATAATCAATAAAGCACAAGCAAACATCCTTCTGGAGTCCTGGTATGGTGCTGTGGATTAAAGCGCCAGACTGCTCCTCAGAAACCCTATACAGGGTCACTATGGGTCAGAACCGATTTGACAGCA